AGAGAGAGAGAGAGAGAGAGAGAGAGAGAGAGAGAGAGAGAGAGAGGCAAGAAAAATAAAGAGAAAAAAAAATAGGCTTTAATCTGCACTGAGCCCATCAGTTTTCTTTCTGGAGGTGGGATAGCATTTTTCATCATGAATCCTTTGGAATTGTCTTGGATCATTGTATTGATTGGTTGCTGGGTCTTTCAGAATTGATGATCATTGATGCTATTGCTATATATATTGTTCTCCTGGTTTTGCTCACTTCATCTTTCATCAGTTCATGTATATCTCAGGTTTTTCTGAAACCATCTTCTTCATTTTTACAGCATAACAGTATTCCATCACAATCATATATACAACTTGTTTAGCCATTCCCCAACTGATGGGCATCCTTGACTTATAATTCTTTGCCATCACAAAAAAAGCTGCTATAAATATTTTTGTACATATAGGTAAATCCATCAAATTGTTTTTCTTCATAATGTCATTGTATAAATTGTTTTCCTAGTTCTGTTCACTTCACACTGCATCATTTCATTGATATATTCACAGTTTCCCTTGAAACTGTCCATTTTGTCATTTATGGTGCACTAATAATAATACATTACATTCATGGACCAATTTGTTTAGCCATTTCCTAATCATGGGGATACTTTTAGTTTCCAATTTTGAGTTAACCTGAAACATATAGGTCCTTTTTCTTTTTCTTTGATCTTTTTGGGGTATTGGCCTCATAGTGATATAACTGAGTCAAAGCATATGTATGGTTTAATGACTTTTGGGGCATTGTTCTAAATTGCTTTTTAGAATGGCTGGACCAAGTCACAGCTCCATTACCAGTACACAGTCTGCCTGTTTTCTTGAAGGCCCTCCAACATTTGTCATTTTCCTCTTACTATCTTTGTGAATTTGATGACTGTAAGGTGGAACCTCAGACTTCTTTTTTTTTTTTTTGTGAGGCAATTGGGGTTAAGTGACTTGCCTAGAGTCACACAGCTAGTAAGTGTTATGTGTCTGAGGCCAGATTTGAACTCAGGATAAATTTTACTGATACATTTTATTTTAATTTTTTTCTTTTTTTGGTGAGGTCAATTGGGGTTAAATGACTTGCCCAGTGTCACACAGCTAGTGAGTTATATGTCTGAGGCCACATTCGAACTCAGGTCCTCCCGACTTCAGGGCTGGTGCTCTATCCACTGCGCCACCAAGCTGCCTCTTCAGACTTCTTTTAATGTGCATTTCTCTATTTAAGATTTGTAACTTTTTTTGTATAGTTTTGAAAGCTTTGTTTTCTTCCTTTGAAAACTACCTGTTTATATCATATCCTTTGGCCATTTTTCTATTGGAGAATGTTTCTTATTGCTATACATTTGAATATGTTCCGTGTATATCTTATAAACAAAACTTTTTTTGAATAATATTTTATTTTTTCCACAATTGCATGTAAAAACAATCAGCACTCATTTTTTGAAATTTTGAGTTCCAAAGCTCTCCCTTCTTCCTTTCCTTCTTCTCTCTCTGAGATGGTAAGCAGTTTGATATAGGTTATACATGTGCAATCATGCAAAACATATTTCCATGTTAATCATGTCGTGAAAGAAAACACAGACTGAAAAACCAAACCAAACCCCAAACACCACAAAATAAGTAAATAGTATGCTTCGATCTGTATTCCTACTCCATCAGTTCTTTCTCTGGATTTGGATAGCATTTTTCATCATTAGTCCTTTGGAATTGTGTTATATCATTGCAATGTTGAGAATAACTAAGTCATTCACAGTTGATCATTGCATAGTATTGCTGTTACTACATACAATGTCCTCCTGGTTCTGCTCACTTCACTTTGATGAAACTTTTCTTAGAGAAACTTGCTGCAAAGATTTTTCCCCCAGTTATGTTCCTTCTCATTTGAACTGTATTAATTTTGTTTGTGCATCTGTTTGTGTCATCTGTTTTCTCCTCTATTCCTTTTTTGGTTATAAACTGTACCTTATTGACAAATTTATTATTATTTATTATTATTATTATTGTTATTATTACAATCTCTTCTGTTCTCTTGTCTTGATCTTCTTTCTCGGTCTAACCCTAATTTGGGAATAAAACCAACCAAAGGTGGGAGAAATCAGAGCCTCTTTCTAATTGACTTTTGGAGAGTGGTATGCTTCCCCAGGTGTAATGAGACCTAGGGGACTGTGGGCACCTTCCCCTGAAACACCTTTGATCTTGGAGGACAATTGATCCCCTTCCATGCTTTCTCAGCCCACACATTATCCCCTTGCTCCTTGTGCCTGTAGATTTAGTCACTAGCTCAGTGGGTTGCCCCTGCTAAAATCCCAGGAGGAAAGACTGTTTGCCAGGTGCTTCTCCAAACAAATTTTAACATGTCTGCTGCATGTTATTTTAGACAAGTGACTTATATCCCCAGTGTTCCCTATTGTTAATGAAGGTTATGTTTCTCATTCACTGAGGGTTCACTTTTTAGTACTAGGGCCATATCAGGGTTGAAGGCACAATATAAGGATCATATTTTAATATGATGTGGATTTATTGCTATTGAGTCATTGACTCTTGGTAACCCCATTTGGGATTTTCTTGCAAAGACATTAGAGTGGTTTGCCATTTCCTTCTCAAGCTTATTTTACAGATGAGGAAACTGAGTCAAGAAAGGTTAAGTGACTTTCCCAGGGTCACACAGCTAGTAAGTATCTGAAGCTGGATTTGAACTCAGATCTTCCTGACTCTAGACCCAAGGCTCTATCCATTGCACCACCTAGCTGCCCTAGCTGTAATGTTATTACAGCTTATTATTGATGTCAAATATGCATCACCCAAGAATGATGTCAGTGAAACCAAGAGTGACCAGTTTTCAGGATAACACTAGCAAAGTATAGACATTTCTACTTGCATTATTTATTTGTGTTATTATTGTTACTTTTGTTTTTAATATTAACTGGTTCAGTGAAAATAGTGTTGAATTTGTAAACAAAAGATGTGAATACGAATCCTGACTGCCACTATACTGTATGTGTGATCATGGATGATTCCCCCCCCCCGTTTGATCTATGGTTTTCACATCTGTAGAATCAGAGCATTGAATGAGGTGACTTCTAAGATCTCTGCCAGCTCTAAATCTGATTGTATTTAGCTGTACACAGGACCCAGATTATTACGGCTCATGAGAGCCCATTGTGGAATATTCAGGGTGAGCATTGATGCCTCAGAAATCCAGCAAACTGCTACAAATCACGACTTGATTTATTGTTTTATTGACTTGAGAAGGTGATGAAGTAAATGTTAATGATGTAAATGAAATTTAAAAGGATCTTATGGGCACGTTTCCACCCAGAGACATTGTTAAGCATTCACCACCTCACCTCTGTTTGTATTGCAGAAGTGTTTTAAAGTTTACAAAGTACTTTTCCTGCAAACAACTTTGTAAGGTCAGGAAGATATTATTACCATCTCCATTTTTTAAGGTGCAGAAACTGATGCTCAGTGAGATGAAATCAGGTGTTCTGAATCTGAGCCCAACATTCCTTTCAATACCACATTGGAGGAGACTGGAGATTATCATTTGTGGTGAGATTTACACAACAGAGAAAGTTGTTTTTCGACCTCCTCATCTTCAAGCTCCTCCAAGTTTAGCCAACTAGGTGCTACTGTAGGGAAAGCAGTGGGCCAGGAGTCTGGAACTCCTGAGTTAAAATCTGGCCTAAGGTGATAGCTTTATGTAGTCACTTAGCCTCAGTTTCCTTATCTGTAAATTGGGGATAATAATAGCACTTACCTCTCAGGGTTTTTATGAGGATCAAATGGGTTAATATTTGTAAAGTGCTTAGCCTGGTGTCTGGCCCATAGTAAGCATTACATAAATGTTAACTATTGTTATTATTGCCAGAGTTGCTGCAAGAAACTTCTTAGAACCAGAAACTACCTCAGTGAAGGGAGATAGAAATAGTGAAAAAGGCAAATAAGTGAAACATTTTATAATAATGGTAGTATCCCATAGAGTTAGGAATTGAGGTAGAATATTACAAAGAAACACAAAATATGGTCTCTCCTATTTTCACCCTCCACACCCTATGTTCCCACCAACCTAAAAACTTGTAGGGGAATGGCAAGAGGAAAGGGGGGTGTTCAAATTTGAGATTTTCTTTTCCTTTTAAGGCCACGTATAGAATATACTCACTTTGAGGGTAGGGATTGTTTCAATTGTGTCTTTGTTTCTCTGTTTCCTGGCATAGTATCTGGTATTAGCAGGAGCTCAACAGATGCTTGCTTTATTAAATTTTAAAAAGTGTGTGTGGTGGAGAGCAGGGGTGACATTCAGAAGTAGGGGAAGGAAATTAAAGCACTGAAAACAAAAAACAAAAAACAAAAAAAAGTAATTCTTTTCACCTACCTCCTTGCTTCTCCCATCACCCCAACCTTTAACAAAACTTAGCCATTTCTTAGGATACCATATCCCCATTGATCCATTTGGCTTAATGTTCCTGCTAATTCGGGTTTGCTTTTCTGTTTTCCAGGAAAATTTGGCACAGGAATTCAGTCTTATTTCTCCTTCCTTCGCTTTCTGGTCATATTGAACTTGGTGATATTTATTATCATTTTTTTGTTTATTTTGCTCCCAATCATCCTTACCAAGTACAAGATTACTGACAGCACCTTCCTGATTGTCCCTTCTAATGAAGTAGGTGAGTCATCTAACAGATAATTTGTTAATTCCCAAACCCATACCTTGTTTTCCAGGGTGTTCATGTGCCCAAGAAAACACCATCTCATATAGTAGGACAAGAAAGGTACCATCAGAATTGAAGCATAAGCTAGGCCTATCTATGAAAATAGGATAGATGCTTTTCATCTAGCCTTTTATCCATTCACTTCTCCCTTAAGAAATAATTTTTGCTTTTTTTTTTTTTTTTTAACAGATATGCGATGCAAAGTATACCCAATGAATAGTACTGGACTCATTTACTTCTATACTTACATGATAGATTTGCTTTCAGGCACTGTAAGTATTTTCTCTTTCCCTCTCCCTCTCTCTCTCTCTCCCTGCCCTCTGTCCACATAGGATGTCACACCCTTACCTGCAGGTGCTCTACCCAAAGGGAATGTAAATTTTAATCTCTGAAACTTTTTTTTCTTTCTTTCTTAAAGACCAGCCTTAACCCCAAGTCACTTTGCCTCTCATTGATTGGCCAACAATAGGTCCCACTGCCCTCCCTTGCTTAAATCCAAGTACAGCAACTAATCCCCTTTTCATTTTCTAAACAAATCAAACCAGCTCCCCCACTCTCTAGGTTTCTTTCCTCTTGGACAAACTTCAAGCTTACAGCTTAGAGACATATCAAAATGTAGAGCTGCAAACTATGAGCTATCCTTCCCAGCTGAGAAGAGACAAGCAGATATCAGATTCTCACTGGTTGCCCATCTCCTTTCCCTGAGTTGAAAAAGAAGGTAGAATTAGAAGAATAAATAAGTATCCTATCATTCCTTATTGAGATTTTCTTAGACTTGAAAAGCACTTACTCCCAGGGTAGTTGTGAGGATTAAATGAGATATTGGTAAAGTGCTTTGCAAATCTTGAAGTGCTATACAAATGGCTGCTTGTTATTGATAGTGTTGTTGTTATTATGATGATTCTATTCTTCAGATTAAGTTAACAGTCTGGGAAAAGAGTTTTGCCTTTCTTTATATCCCCAGAATTTAACATAATGCCCAGCACATAGTCAGGTTTAATAAATACTTGTTGACTAACTGACCTCAAAGCAGTAAACCTCTTAAAGTCATAAGGAACCTTAGATATCATCTGGTCTAGCTCCCTCATTTGACTAGGAAAGAACAAGTCCAGAGGTTTGAAGTGCTCCAGGTCACAAAGCTAGCTAATAGCATGATGAGGCTAGAGCTCAGGTCTGCTTTCTCCTAGATTGGTTCTCTTTCTACTATATTGCCTTTCTGACTGACGGGTGCAGAAATGGAAAAATGAGTTCTCTCCCCAGGACTGAACTGAAATCCTTTGGCAATGCTTAATAGGAAGAGTTTTTCTAGATTAGAATAGCTCTGGTTACTGACCTCCTTTTAGGGAGATAATCTCATACTGTGCCCTTTGCCCTATTTTATTCAGGGTTTCTTGGAATGGACCAGCCTGTTTTATGGCCATTATACCGTAGATGGGGTAAAATTCAAAAACTTCACGTATGATTTGCCCCTCGCCTATTTGCTGAGCACAGTGGCTTATTTAGCATTGAGTCTTCTCTGGATAGTGAAAAGGTAAATTCTACTACACTATTGTTTGTTTATTTCTCAAGACTGCTGCATTTTGAAGCCAAGGCCACAGGCAAGAGGTTCCATTAACCTCTTGGAGGTGGGTGGGCCTGTCAAAGAAATCTGGGCATCTGTGCAAAATGACACTTTTCCTTCCTGAGCATCATTTGTAAAGGTGGAGTTCGTGAGCAAGCAACAATTGAGAAGGTTGGATTAGATGATCTCAAAGATCTGTTATAATTCTAAAATTCTTTGATATTTCTTAATGTCCCCAGTTAACTGTATAAGCCTTCTTTTGATCTATATATATGTTAAGGGTTCTTAACCTTTATTGTGTCATGGATCCTTTTGGCAATGTGGTAAAAACTATAGATTTCTTCTCAGAAGAAAGTTTTCAAATACATAAAATAAAGTAAATAACATTACAAAGGAAACCAATTATATTGAAATGCAGTTTTTAAAATATAAAGTTCATGGACTCCAAGTTAAGAACATTGATATATAATTGAATTTTAGCATTTTGTTTTGTTTTGCTTTATTTTTTTACATTGTGACCCTAAAGGTTATAATGACTCTGGAATATGAAAAGAGAAAGACATTTCCACTGATGTAAATGGGGCATTCAGTACATTTGGCTAGCACTGATATTCCCATTCACATAGGAATAGTGTCTGGTCCTTTGATTTCATTGGTATAGGGAACTCCCAGATGAGAGAATTCCCTCTTCCAATGTAGGTCAACATCTTTGCAATTTATAGTTTTAGATAGGTGTGTAGGTCACTGAAAGGTGAATTTCCAAAGGTCACATAGCCAGTATGGGTCATTGGCAAAGCTTGTATTCAAAGCCAGTTCATTTTCCACTATACCATGGTGCCCCTCCATATTCATCATCCCACTAGAAACTGAGTGACTATTTATCTAATAACATTGTAGAGAATTTTTCATATTCAGGCACAGTTTGGACTAGATATAGCCTCCAAGGTCCCTTCCATCTTGAAATCCTGTGATCTTTCAAATGTGGAATGTACTCCCTCTTCCTCTTCATCTCCTCTTCCTTCAAGCCTCAACTTAGGAACTTCCTTTTCCACGAATCACACAAGTCAAAGTGTGAAATCTGTCTGAATATCTTCTTTTGCCTTCCTATCACATTCTACCTTGTTGCATATGTATTTGTGTTCATTTCCTGTTCCACTTTCTTCTCCACCCCCAATATATTATAAAAGTTCCTTGGGCTCAAGGGACTGTGTCATTTTTCATCTTGGCATTTTCAGTATCAAACATAGTATCTAGTTGATTCTGAATAAGTTTTGTTAAATTGAGTCAAATAGGTTGTTGAATAGTTTCAGAAAATGCAAGAAAATTTAGATTTTAAAAGAGCAACAGTTTTGCAATTTTTCCACGGGTAATAGAAAGTACTGTGTTTCTGGGGCAGTTAGGTGGCGAAGGGGATAGAGTGCTAGACCTGGAGTCAGAAAGACCTGAGTTCCAGTGTGGTATTAGACACTTCCTAGCTGTGTGACCCTGGCCAAGTCACCTCACCTTGTTTGCTTCAGTTCCTCGTTTGTAAAATGAGCTGGAGAAGGAAATGGCAGACCACTACAGTAGCTTTGCCAAGAAAACCCCAAATGGGGTCATGAAGAGTCAGACAGGACTAAAAATGATTGAACAACAAACTCTTTCTATTGAATGGAATGAAGGAAGGAGAGAAGGAAGGAAGGAGGGAAGGAAAATATTTATTTAGCACTGTATGCCAGACACAGTGCTAAACACTGGGGATAAAAATGCAAAAAAACAAGTGCTTGCCTTCAAAGAGCTTGCATTCTAATCAGGGAAGACAACACATAGGAGAGTGATGACTAAGGTGGGATATTTTGATCTGGAAAGTTGTAAGGAGAGTGAGCGGAGCCTTAAGAGAACAGACTGATGAACCCTTTCCTGGAGCAATGAAAATTCATAGGAACACAAATCTAGAGCTGAAAGGGATCTCAAGAGGCCATCTAGTCCAACCTTTTTTTTTTTTAACAGATGAGGAAACTGAGGCCCAGGAAGGTTAAGTGAATTGCTGGAGGTCACAAAAGTACTAAATGTCAGAGGTAGGATTTGAACCTAGATCCTGTAACTCCAGAGCTCATATTCTGAGGTGATTTAATTATGATTCTGAAATTGGAAAGGGATTTGGGAGGGTCAGAGGGCGTGAGTGCGGCAGCTTAGGGGCCAGCAAGAGAAGAGCCAGAGAGTAGAATTAGGCATGCCTGGAGCTGAGCATAGACATGAAGGGGGACTAAGACAACCATCAATTAGGTTCTTTATGACAGACTACATATTCATCTTTTTTTTTTTTTTTTAAACAGGTCTGTGGAAGGATTCAAGCAAAACTTGGTGCGAAGTGAAGAACAATATCAGAGCTACTGTAACAAAATCTTTGCTGGCTGGGACTTCTGTATCACAGACGAGACAACCGCCAAGCTCAAGCACAGCAGTATACAGTATGAGCTTAAAGTGAGTCTTGTCAATTTTGACTATCATTGTGGATTCCTGAAAGGTTAAATCAGCTTTAGATTTTGGGGGGAGGGGACAAGGGCCGGTGGAACTCCTTTTAACTCTTTCATAGATCATTTTCTGTGGATTATCCCTGAGATACAACAAAGAGCACTGGCCCCGAAAGGGACCCGTTGTCTGGAGATAAAGGAGTGATTCAGAGAGGGAACAGACAGGAAAAAGGAGGTGATGGTAGCCCCACCAAACACCCCCACTCCTCCCCTACAAAAAAAATAAAACCAAGACAAAACAACCAACACCTAAGAGGCTTAAGCACAATCTGCTCATAGTCCCCACCTGGTACTAAAGCAGTGCAAGCATGACTAATATGGCTGCCTAAGCAACAATTCCTTCCTTCTTCCTCTTAGCCCCTTCCTTTCCCCCTTTTCCTTTTCTTCTTTCTTTTCTCTCCTTCTCTCCTTTCCTTTTCTCCTTCTTTCCTTTCTTTTTCTCTTCAAAACTGCTCTTGCTAATATTTTAATGTGATTTCACCAAGATAAATATGTTCACAGGTATGTGTTGGAGGAGAGGCTGGTATGCCCACACAGTGTGACTATACTCAAATGCTTAGACACTCCCCTCTCTGCTATGAGCCTCCTGTTTCCTATGTGCTGTGAAGAAAATGTGGCAGAAGAAACACAATGTGTGACATGAGAAACCAGCCTGGAAGGAGGAAGAAAGGAGACAGACTGTAAATGGAAGGGAGAGATGCTCTTTTGGAATATTCTTTTAAATTCCAGAATGGAGTTGTGGCATTTTTCATTCTAGATCAGGAGGTCTTAACTTATGGTTAAGATTTCAGAGGGGCTCCATAAACTTGTATGGGAAAGAAAATTTAATTTTTATTTTCACTAATCTCTAACTGAAATTCAGCAGTTCGTTTAATTAAGATTTTTTAAAAAAATTTTCTGAGAAGGGGTCCATAGGCTTCACCAGACTATCAAAGGGATTCAATGACACACATACCAAGTTAAAAATGTGCAGTTCTAGATAGGCTCTGTTTTGTAAATGTAAATTCTGGGTCTCTTTTCTAACCTGCTGCCCAAAGAAACATCCTAGACATACATACAGGGGAAAATTGGTTGGTTGTTGTCCTTCTTGCTCCAAGAGGACCAACATGGCATTACTATTCAAGGTACGGTGTGTCCAACTGTGGCTGATGAGACCAGTATGAGCTCTGAAGGCTCTACCACACATCTGGCACAGATAGTCCACATGAAGATTTGAAGTGGATATGTCTAAGTTTGCTCATCTCGCTTTTCTTTTGAGCTACCAAAATTCTGCTTTGCTTAAAGAGCATAGCACCTTCTTTGATGCGGGCACTCCGTAACGGACAGTCCTGTGCCATTGTCTCCCCCAGTCCAAAGTTCTTCAGAGAGATGTTGAGTGTCCTTGTATTGCTTCTTCTGGCCCCTGTGTGAGTTGTTCATAAAATAATTTTTTAGGTAAACGTATGTTTGGCATTCAAGCAGTATGAGATCTGTGCTCTCCGTAGTAGAGTTTGACAGTTTTGGCTGTTTGGTAGTTCAGCTCAAGAAAGTACCTCAGTGTTCAGAACCTTATACTGCCAGGTGATCTTCAGAATTGTCCTAAGACAATTCAAATGGAAGCAATTCAGTTTCCTGGCATGGCACTGGTTTACTGTCAGGTTTCACAGACATACAACATTGAGGTCAGCACAGTGGCCCTGTAGTCCTTCAGTTTGGTTGTCAGTCTAATATCTCTTCTTTTCCACACTTTTCCTTTGGAGCCTCCCAAACACTGAGCTAGATCTGGTAATGTGTGCATCAACCTCATCATCTATGTGTACATCCATGAAAAGTATACTGTCAAGGTAATTGAACTTATCCACAGAATTCAGAATTTCTCCTGGGAGAGAATCTAGAAGGGGGAACCTCCTCTTTGAACTTTTACATTCTCTAGAGGCTTCTTGGGGGAATAATTCTTATACTAAAAGTGTTCCAGGAAAATCTAATTCAAAAGTAGGTAGCCTCTGGTCCGATGCCACAGTATAATCTTAGTCCATCATTGGTGGCCTTCTCTATGCCACTCCTTGCTCTTTATGTCTCCCTTTCTCCTTCTTGACCCTTTCTTTTCTCCTCTTCATTCATGCAATTAAGTCTGTTGGATATTGTATAGTCTCATCAGTGTCACTCAGAGCTAAAAAGTTTCCTGATGATTGCATCTCAACTCATGCATTTCCCATGCACCTTCATTGGGTGTATGCTCTGTTCTCTTAGTTGAAAATCCACCTATGAGTTATCCTTGTCTTCTCTGTCTTCCCTCCTCATCATGTAGGCATTTAGAAATATTTAGCTAGGACATTAACTGAAGGCTCTCTAACAAATCTTCTCCCACAATCCAGCACTTTTATAGCCTTCCTTCTTCCCCCCAAACTTTAGACAATCAAAGAATAATGCTGAATATGTGTTGAGTGGAGAGTACTTGACTTCATGAATAGGAAAGCTACAAAGAAAGAAGATACCAGGTCTGAGACCTTGAAAAGGGGTTGCTGAGTCATTAAGTCATTCTTTTTTTTTTAAATTAATTTATTTTGATTTATTAACAATCACTTCCATAAGCTTTTGAGTTTTAAATATTTCTCCCCCTCCCTCCCCACCTGCCTTCCCAAAATGGCATGCAATCTGATATAGGCTATACATACACATTCCTATTAAATATATTTTAACATTAGTGATGTTGTAAGTAAGAATTAGAACCAATAGGGGGAGCCACCAGAAAGAGGAAACAAAACACAACAGAAAAAAAAAATAGCAAATAGTATGCTTCAATTTGCATTCAAACTCCATAGTTTTTTCTTTGGATGTGGATAGCATTTTCCCTCACGAGGCCTTTGGAGGTGTCTTAGGTCCTTGTATTGTTGAGAAGGATTAAGTCTATCAATATTAGTCATCACACAACGTGGCTGTTACTGTGTACAACATTCTCTTGGTTCTGCTCACTTCACTCAGCATCAGACCATACAAGTCTTTCCAGGTTTTTCTGAAGTCTGCCTGTTCATCGTTTCTTATAGCACAATAGTATTCCATTACATTCATATACCACAACTTGTTCAGCCATTCCCCAATTGATGGGCATCCTCTCAGTTTCCAATTCTTTGCCACCACAAAAAGAGCTGCTATAAATATTTTTGTACATGTAGGTTAAGTCATTTTTTAATGTGTGGACTTAGATTTAGACAATGGCTTGGATTCTCCATATAAAAAAATTTTTTTAAAATTAATTTATTTTTAGTTTTAAACATTCACTTCCATAAGCTTTTAGTTTTAAATTTTCTCCTCTTTTCCCTTCTCCCCCTTAACTTCACCCCCAACAGCATACATTCTGATATAGGCTCTACATATATATTCTTATTAAACATTTTCACATTAGTCATGTGGTAAAGAAAAATTAGAACCAATGGGAGGAACCACAAGAAAGAAGAAACAAAACAAAACAACAACAAAAAAGAGAGCAAATAGCATGCTTCAATCTGTGTTCAGATTCCATAGTTCTTTCTCTGGATGTGGACAGCATTTTTCATTGTGAGTCTTTTGGACTTGTCTTAGATCATTGCATTGCTGAGAAGAGCCAAGTCTATGAAAGTTAGCCATTGGACAATGCGACTGTTACTATGTACAATGACCTGCTGGTTCTGCTCACTTCATTCAGCATCAGTTCATATAAGCCTTTCCAGGTTTTTCTGAAGTCTGCCTGCTCATCATTTCTTATAGCACAATAGTATTGCATTACATTCATATGCCACAACTTCTTCAGTCATTCCTCAATTGATGGGCATCCCCTCAATTTCCAAATCTTGGCCACCACAAAAAAAGCTGCTACAAATATTTTTGTACATGTGGGTCCTTTTCCCATTTGTATGATCTCTTTGGGATACAGCCCTAGAAGGGCTATTGCTGAGTCAAAGGGTATGCACATTTTTATAGCCCTTTGGGCATAGTTCCAAATTGTTCTCCAGAATGGTTGGATCAGTTCACAACTCCACCAACAATGCATTAATGTTCCAATTTTCCCACATCTTCTCCAACATTTATCATTTTCCTGTTTTGTCATGTTAGCCTATCTGATAGGTGTGATGTGGTACCTCAGAGTTGTTTTGATTTGAATTTCTCTAATCAGTAGTAATTTAGAGCATTTTTTCATATGATTATAGATAGCTTTAATTTCTTCATCTGAAAACTACCTGTTCATATTCTTTGACCATTTATCAATTGGGGAATGACTCATATTCTTATATATTTGACTCAGTTCTCTATATATACATTAGAAATGAGGCCTTTAGCAGAGACATTGGCTATAAACATTGTTTCCCAGCTTTCTGCTTCCCTTCTAATCTTGGTTGCACTGTCTTTGTTTGTGCAAAAACTTTTCAATTTAATGTAATCAAAATCATCTGTTTTGCATTTCAAAATGTTCTCCATCTCTTGTTTGGTCATAAATTTTTCCCTTCTCCATAGGTCTGACAGGTAAGCGATTCCTTGCTCTCCCAGTTTGCTTACAGTGTCAGCCTTTATATCTAAATAATGTACCCATTTTGACTTTATTTTGGTATAGGGTGTAAGATGTTGGTCTATGCCTAGTTTCTGCCATACTATTTTCCAGTTTTCCCCACAGTTTTTGTTAAATAGTGAGTTGTTATTCCAGAAGCTGAAGTCTTTGGATTTATCAAACAGTAGATTACTATATTCATTGACTATTGTGTCTTATATACCTGATGTATTCCACTGATCCACCACCCTATTTCTTAGCCAGTACCAAGTAGTTTTGATGATTGCTGCTTTATAATACAATTATAAGATCTGGTATGGCTAGGCGACTTTCCCTTGCATTTCTTTTCATTAATTCCTTTGATATTCTTGACCTTTTGCTCTTCTAGATGAATTTTGTTGTTATTTTTTCTAGCTGTATAAAATAATTTTTTGGTAGTTTGATTGGTATGGCACTGAATAAGTAAATTAATTTAGGTAGAATTGTCATTTTTATTACATTAGCTTGGCTATCCATGAGCAACTGTTTTCCCCCATCTATTTATGCTTTTTTCTCTCTTTTCTCCCTATCCCTTCTCACTAGTGTTTTGCTTTTGACCACTGGCTTTCTCAATCTGCCCTAGCTTCTATCAGCCCCTTCCCTTTTCTTTCTACTTTTCCCTCCTACTTCTTTTAGGGTGAGTTAGATTTCTATACCTAACTGATTATGTTATTCCCTCTTTGATCCAAATCTAACAAGAGTAAGGTTCAAACAATGCTCATCTGTCTCCCTTCTTTTCCTCTACTGTATGTAGTAGGTCTTTGTGCCACTTCATGTGATGTAATTTACCCTTTTCTGACTCCTCCTTTCCTTTTTTCTCAGTATAATCCTTTTCCACCACTTAATTTGATTTTTTATCATCACATCAAAGTCAAGTTATACCCACACCCTCTGTTTATGTATACCCCTTCTAAATAAAAGATACAGTTCTCAAGAGTTACAAGTATCATCTTCCCTTGCAGGGATGTAAACAGTTTACCCATAATGAATAACATATTGTTGTTGTTTTTTCTTTCCTGTTTACCTCTTTATGCCTCTCTCTGTCTCTCTTTTTTTAGGCAAGTGACTTGCCCAGGGTCACACAGCTAGTAAGTGTCAAGTGTTTGGTCTGAGGCCGGATTTGAACTCAGATTCTCCTGACTTCAGGGCCGGTGCTCTGTCCACTGCACCACCTAGCTGCCCCTTTATGTCTCTCTTGAGTCTTGTATTTGAAGATCAAATTTTCTATTGAGCTCTGATCTTTTGTCCATCTCCTCCCTTGAAAAATTCTGATCAGTGTCGTTGGGTAGTTGATCCTTGGTTGTAATCCAAGCTTCTTTGCCTTACAGAATATCATATTCCAAGCTCTCCAATCTTTTAATGTAGAAGCTGCGAGGTCCTGTGTAATCCTGACTGTGGTTCCACGATATGTTTCTTTCTGGCTGCTTGTAATATTTTCTCTTTGATCTCATAATTTTGAAATTTGGCTACAATATTTCTTGTTATTTTCAATTTGGGATCTCTTTTAAGAGGTGATAAGTGGATTCTTTCAATTTCTATTTTCCCTCTGGTTCTAGGACCTCAGGGCAGTTTTACTTGATGATTTATTGGAAGATGAAAGATTTTGTACCTCCTTTTTCATTTGGCCCATTTTACTTTTTAAGGAGTTCTTTTCAGTGAGTTTTTGTGTCTCCTTTTCCATTTGGCCAATTCTACTTTTTAAGAGGTTCTTTCTTCAGTGTTCTTTCTTCAGTTCTTTTTTTTTGTCCCATTGTATTTTTAAGGACTTGTTTTCTATAGTCAATTTTTGTCCTTCCTTTTCCAAGCTATTGACCTTCTCTTGCATACCTCTCATTTCTTTTCCCAATTTTTCTTCTACCTCTTTTACTTGACTTTTAAAATCCTTCTTAAGCTCTTCCAAGGAGACTTTTTGGGCTTGAGACCAGTTTATATTCCCTTTGAGGTTTTGGATGTGGGTATATTGACAATGTGTCCTCTTCTGAATCTGTCTCCATAGTAAGAATCTGTAGTCAATATCTGTTTCTGCTTTTTGCTCATGGTGTTTGCCTATTCTCTTGCTTTTAAAGTTGAGCTCTCCTGCTGGAGCATAGGGGACACTGACCCAAGCTTCTTGTGCTGGCGGTCAAGGACCTGGTCACTGGCTTTGTGTGCTGGGCCCTCAGGTGCTGGCAGCCAGAGAATGTAGGGGTCTGGTAGTTTACCTGGTGCTGAACTGGGGTCAGCAACACTGAAGCTCTTGGTGGGAGAAGGGGGAGGTGGTTCTGGCCCTTGGACAATGTCTGCTCACCTGGAATGCTTTGAAGCACTGGAGGGTGGGGGTGGGGTGCAGCCAACATGGCAGAATAATCCAGCCTCAGACACTTGACACTTACTAGCTGTGTGACCCTGGGCAAGTCACTTAACCCTATTTCCTTACCAAAAAAAGCAAAAAAAAAAAAGTCAACTAATTGGCTAGGAAAATGAGCAAACAACGGAAAAAATTCAGACTATAGAATCTTACTTTGGTTACAAGGAAGATCAAAATATACCCTCAAAAGAAGATAACAAAGTCAAAGCTCCTACATCCAAAGTCTCCTAGAAAAATATGAATCGGTCTTGGATTTTGAAAATGAAGCAAGAGAAGCAAAGGAAAAATTGGGAAGAGTAATGAAAGTGATGCAAGAAAATCATGAAAAAGAATCCAACAGCTTGCTAAAGGAGAACCAAAAAATTACTGAAGAAAATAACACCTTAAAAAATAGACTAGACCAAATGGCAAAAGAGATCCAAAAAGCCAATGAGGAGAAGAATGCCTTAAAAAGCAGAATTGGCCAAATGGAAAAGAAGATCCCAAAGCTCACTGAAAAAAATAATTCTTTAAAAATTAGAATGGAGTAAATGGATGCTAATGACTCTATGAGAAATCAAGAAATTATAAAACAAAACCAAAAGAATGAAAAAATGGAAAACAATATGAAATATCTCACTGGAAAAACAACTGACCTGGAAAATAGATCTAGGAGAGAGAATTTGAAAATTATTGGACTACCTGAAAGCCGTGACCAAAAAAAGAGCCCACACATCATCTTTCAAGAAATTGTCAATGAAAACTGCTCTGATATTCTAGAACCAGAGGGTAAAATAGAAATTGAAAGAATTTACTGACTACTTCCTGAGAGAGATCCCAAAAGGAAAACTCCTAGGAATATTATAGGCAAATTTCAGATTTCCCAGGTCAAGGAGAAAATGTTGCAAACAGCCAGAAAGAAACAATCCAGGTATTGTGGAGCTACATTCAAGATAACCCAAGATTTAGCAGCTTCTTTTACATTAAAGGATTGGAGAGCTTGGAATATGATATTTTGGAGGGCAAAGGAGCTTGGATTACAACCAAGAATCACCTACCCAGCAAAACTAAGTATAATCCTTCAGGGGGAAAAATGGACATTCAATGAAATAGAGGATTTTCAAGCATTCTTGATGAAAAGACCAGAGCTGAACAGAAAATTTGACTTTCAAATATAAGATTCCAGAGAAGCATGAAAAGGTAAACAGGAAAGAGAAATCATAAGGGACTTATTAAAGTTAAACTGAAAGATGATATTTGTAACTCATGAGATCTTTCTCATTATTACAGCAGTTGTAGGGAATATATATATATACATAATTGACTATAAAAGGATGATACCTAAAAGATAAAATTAAAGGGTGAAAGAGGAATGTACTGGGAGAAGGAGAAAGGGAGAGATAGAATGGGGTAAGTTATCTCACATAAAACAGGCAAGAAAAAGTTTTTACAGTGGAGAGGAAGAGGAGGGAGGTGAAGGGGAATGAGTGAACCTTACTCTTATCAAATTTGGTTTAAGGAGGGAATAACATACACACTCATTTGGGTATGGAAATCTATCTTACCCTACAAGAAAGTTGGGGGGAAGGGGATAAGAGAGGGAGGGTGATAGAAGGGAGGTCAGATTGGGGGGGGGTAATCAGAAGCAGACACTTTTGAGGAGGAACAGTAGTCAAAGAAGAGAACAGAATAAATGGGGGTGGAGTGGATAGGATGGTGGGCAATATAGTTAGTGTTTCATAACATGACTATTATGGAAGTATTTTGCATGATTACACATGTATTACCTATATAAAATTGCTTTCCTTCTCAATGAGGGTGGTGGAGAGGGAGGAAGGGAGAGAAACTGGAACTCAAAGTTTTAAAAACAAATATTTCAAAAATTGTTTTTACATGCAACTGGGAAATAAGATGTACAGGCAATGGGGTGTAGAAATCTATTTTACCCTACAGGACAATAGAAGGGGAAGGGAATCAGACAAGGAGAAGGGGTGATAGAAGGGAGGTCAGATTGGGGGAAGGGGTAATCAGAATCCATGCCATCATGGGGTGTGGGGAGGAGAAAGACGGGTAGAAAATATGGACCTCAAAATCCTGTGGAAGTGAATGCTGAAAACAAAAAATAAATAAATTAATTAAAATTTTAAAAAAATGAAGCACTGGATAATTTGGTTGCTGGAGAGTGCCTGCCTCTCTAGAGTTGTGCTTCCCGGAGTTGTGCTTCCTAGAGTTGTGCTGAAGCACAAAGAAGTTTGGCTGCTAGAGGACACCTGCCTGCTGGCACACGAGGTGGTTTTTGAGCTGGAGTCTACTGGCTCCCCTGCCTGTGCCAAGGTACTCGGGGGTCCTGGTTTAGGTGCTTGCCTGCTCCACCACCCTGGGGCTCAGGATCTCCCCTTGGTTTGCTGAGGTGGGCCTTGCTGTTGGCATGCTGTTTTGTACTGCTTCCCTTCCACTAGAGTGAGAGGGACCTTTCCTGTTAGTCCCCCAAGCTTCCCAGGCTACAAGACTGCTGCATCCCATCTTTCTACTGATTCAGCTGTTCCAGGATTTTTCCTGGGGTGATATTTTCTGAGTTTTTAGAGTTCAATAAGGGAGAGTGAGAGTGACTTCTTACTCTGCCATCTTGGCTCCCAGAAGTCCATATTCAAATCCAGTCCTCTTAAGAATGATTTTTTTTTTTTTGTTCCTTAGACAGACTTGGTGGAAGAAAGAATAAGGCTAAAAGTAGCACAGAGAACTCCTGAAGAAACCTTACGGATTTATAGTCTCAGAATGCTTTTGAATGCTATAGTTATAACTGTACTGGCAGCATGCTTTTATGCAATCTATGAAGCAACTATATTCTCCCAAGAACACATGAAAAAGGTAACTCACTTTTTTCTCCCCAAAATTTAAGTTGTAATTAAAAGAATTCATGAAATAGAACATGGGCTTTATTTATGTCCAGAGTTGGGGACCAGAATACCTGAATTTTCTCCCCACTTATGATTCCCTATGCTGGTCATTTAAAGTCTGTGACACTAATGATTAGTCACTCAACAAGCATTTATTAAGCCCTTACTATGTGCCAGACACTGTGCTAAACTTGTAGAATACTAATACAACCAGAAAAAAAATTCAGTCCCTGCTCTTAGAGGCTTTAAAATCTAATGAGTATAGACCACACGTAAAAGGAAGCTGAAAAGGAGAGGGCAAATAAGAAGAAGGAAAAAAAAGAATGTCAAGTCCAGAGTGTAACCTAGAGAAGATGGTCAGGGGCCTTCTCCTTAAATAGAGGTTCTAGGAGGAGCCATCCCATCATAGGGTAAGGATACTTCCACTGTGTGAATTCCAGGGCTGGAGTGAGACTTCAGGATATAGAACTGGGGCATTGTAGGTATCTGGAGTGGAATAAAGCAGGCAGTGAGATTATATAATTTTGGGGGGGGGGGCGCTAGGCAATGGGGTTAAGTGACTTGCCCAAGATCACACAGCTAGTAAGTGTCAAGTGTCTGAGGCTGGATTTGAACTCAGGTCCTCCTGAATCCAGGGCCAGTGCTCTATCCACTGCACCACCTAGCTGCCCCAGATGTTATATAATTTAAAGTGAACAACTAGTTACATAACTTTCAACAGAGTACATCAGGCAAACAGAGCCTTTGTAAAAATGAATGGAAAGTAGGAGAGGTATCAGAATTCTTATTGGTCAGATGATGTTTGTGAAATGGAAATAGAGGTCCAGGGAATTTCTAGAGGGTGTTCCTACCAACTTGGGATTCACAAAAGGCAGTTTCACATGTTATAGAGCAGTCAGTTAGAAGTCAAGACTACATGGGTTCTCCCACTAACTGGCTAGTTGACTTAGGACACCACCCTGGATCTCAGTTTCCTCACCTATAAAGTTAAGAGATTGAACTAAATATTATTTAAAGTCTCATCCAGCTTAGACTTTCTTTAGTTCTGTGACCACACTGTTTTGCAGCCAGTCATTTATCTTGACAGAGTTGAAATCTTTTGCCTTCCTAGGAGATTAACAAAATGATATTTGGAGAGAACCTTCTCATCCTCTATCTTCCCTCCATTGTAATTACACTGGCCAACTTTATCACTCCCATTATCTTCTCCAAGATCATTCACTATGAAGACTATTCACCAGCCTTTGAGATCAGGTTGACTCTCCTCAGGTAAATGATTGACTTGGCTCAGTTCAGCCAAGTCAATGTATCAACACTGTAAAGTTCTTTGCCACCCTTAAAGTGCTATTTAAATTACTCCTATTATCCATTAAAGTCGAAGATTATTTGTTGAGCATCTACCATATGTAGCCTGCTGTACTATGTGATGTTTTGTTGGAGCTGGAACAGAAAATGGTTACAGAGGTAGACAAAAAGATAATTAAGACCCAGTTTTTGCTCTTAACCAGTTTATAATTTATGGAGTCACTTGCCTTCTTTTTCTTTCTATTTTTGTTTGCTGCTCCTGGCTTCAAGGTTCTTATTAGAGTGAGTTACCAGGGTAGGGTTCTAAGTATCATGCTTAGGGGAGAGAGGAGAGAGAAGAAAAGGAATAGATTAATACCCCCACTTTCCCTTCTAGAGACCAAGAAGATGGTCTACCAACAGCACATCTGAGGCAACACTTCTTAGAGGCACAGGTCAAAACATCAACAAACAATTAATTTCAACAAATACTTATTAAGCACCTGCTTAATGAGCTGTAGATCAGGCCTGCACAACCTACTTATGGACAGTGGGCTGCTTGCAGCTGCCAAAATATTTCCTCTGCATTTCCTCTAAATTTTTTGCAGGCTGCCCAGAATCCTTTGTTTGACTGTAAGTGGCCCACGGGCTGCAGGTTGTGTAGGCCGGAGTTAGATATTGTTAATGAAAAGACAAAAAAAAAGAAATGAACCCTGTCCTCAGAGGGCTTATATGGGAAGGTGGGAGAATATAACATGTGGATAGTTAAATGGATACAAGATAATTTTTTTTTTTTACCACTAATAATTGAGGAAGATTATGGAAAGTTTTAAAGAGGAGGTGCTACCTGAACTGACCCTTTATGGAAGCTAGGAATTCTAAGAGAGGAAGCAATGTACCCTATACTTAGTGGATGATTTAAGGTGGAGTATTTCTTTGACCCTGCTTAGCTCTCATCTAGCTACTATTCCTCTCTCTTCCCTTGATGATTTCCTTTCTTTCATCTCCTTGACAGCTAAGCTTCTTGAAAAAGTTGTCCATTCTCTATAACTTGAGACACTTGCAATCTGGTCCTCACTCCTAGCACTCTACTGAAATTGTTGCTCAAAGGGCACCAATGATCTCCCCAATCACCAAATTCAATGACTTTTCTTCCTTTCTCATAGTCTCTATCCTTTGGGTGTGCTAGAGGAGACATTTTCCTCATGGAAAGTAGCCAGAAAAAAAATTTTTTAATTCAAATTACAGGCTCTCTCTCTCTTGCCCTTTTATCAGACCAAAAGAGTTGCTTTGTCAATTATGTGCATAGGCATACATACATACATACATATATATTTCAATATATTGGCAAATAAGTTACATATGCATCTACGTGCATGTTTATGTTTCATATGTAATTTATATACACATCTATATACACTCATATGTATCATTTATCTATATCTGTCTATATCTATATATATTACTTTTTTCCATGAATCTATGATGTTTGGCATATTTAGAGATAAAACCCCTTCAAAATGGGAATATTGGGGCAGGGGTAAGGATGATATTTTTCCTAATTTTTGTGGAAAAAACAACAAAGTTATTGGGGGAAAGCATATTTTTCCCTATTTTTTTTGTCCTTTACATCTTTAGCCATAAATGCCAACAGATTGTGTGGGCAAAGCAGCCTGATTGACTGTCTCTCCTCCTCCCTTTTCCCTCTTTTTTTTCCTACACAGGTGTGTCTTCATGCGATTGGCCACCATTTGTGCGCTGGTGTTTACCCTGGGGTCCAAGATAACCTTCTGTGACAATGAGGATTGTCGAGTCTGTGGCTATAACCACAAACTCTATCCAGTAAGTCTAGCTGGCTACTGAAATGTTTTTGAACCATATCAGTTGTTCACCAACCCTACAGGTCCATATAAAATCCATTTTGAGTCTAGATTAAGCTGGCTGGCCTGATTTCGTTACTGCACTGGCAAAACTATGGATTCCACAGTGATGATTTTATGGATAAGGGAATAAATGGAATAGAGATGCTTTAAATGTGATCACCTCAAGTAGGGATGGATTTACTTTGAGGTTTATAGGAACCATACCCACAGAAATCCAGCTGTTTCCTCCTCTTCCCATCCCTACCTCCTAAAAGTTGGAGTCCAAGCCTAACTTTCAGCCCCATTGAAGCAGTGGGAATACAGGAGAAATAGCTTCCATTCATTTCCCTAGGCCCCATGGGTCAAGAGAGATCTGTGTTGAAGTTTCCACTATTTAAAAGCATTAAAACCACCACTGATTTCAAGACTTCTTTATGTAGATTTTCTGTTGACAGTAGCTCTTTTTCTTTTTTTTTTTGACAGTAGCTTTTAATGCATCTGTCTTGGGGCAGATTGAGTCATGGCCCTCATCTGGGAAGAATTCCTCATTGCTTCTGAGATATGAAAGTTTGGAATAATGTAATGGGTCACTTGGTGATTTATAGGATTTCTCGGGCTTAATTTATAACTCAGTGGGTTCTTTTCCATGGAAATGTAATTGACTCAGGAAGACATTTCTTCTCAGTCCTTTATTGTGTCTTATCCACATGCTAGTTTCCAGTGCTTAGGAGTTCACTTAGTCTCATGAACAAATGAAATCGGCAGTGAAAGATGTTGGGATTTGGAACAACTCTCCCAAAACTGTTGGCCCTAAACAAACTACAGAGTCTTCATTAGGTGGTTCTCTAAGGTTGTCCTATTAGAACTTGGGAGGCCACAGGACAAAGTTGGACAGGACTTTGGTGCTCAGATAGAGAAGAGAAGGGCTAGCAGGTACCCTAAGTTAGGCAAATCAATGGCCAAAACCAGACCAATCAATTCCGAAGGAGTACGTAGAGAGCGATGGGTATAGGCACAGAAGAGATAGTAATGTAGATCTAGTCAGCTAATAATAACTCCCATCTATGTATCACTTTGAGGCTTATAGAGTGCTTTCCTCACCTTCCTTGCAACTTTAGCCTTAGACAATTGGCTTAGAAGAGTACTAAGAGGCTAAGTGACTTGTCTAGGATCACACAGTCAGTATGTGTCAGAAAAAGGACTTGAACCCAAGACTTCCTGGCTTTGAGTCTAGTTTTATATCCATCATACTATAATATCTCTTTAACAGTAGAGTAAAGCTTTGCTGATTAGGAATAAAATTATCTATCTACTATACCATACCCCTTCTCATTCTGCCCCTCACTTCCCAGCCCAATCAGTCTCCTCACTGGAAACTCAGACTCTACTCCTGGCTCTGACCTTTCATCTTATTCTGCTAAGATGACCCCTGTAATACTTCCCAGCCTTCACAATACCCCTGTGGTTGGGGGAACCACAATACCTTCATCTTTCCCCTTTCTAGCACTCAGATAAATGGCACAGGTATTATCATCCTCGTTTTATAAAAGAGTAACAAGAAGATGAAACTACAGAAGGTCAGTTGAATTGTTCACGGTTGTATATATGAAGTGTCTGAAGCAAGTCCAGAGTCTGCAAAGGTTTGGGAGCATAAAGTAAGGAACCCTGGGTAGGAGATGATGGAGTCAAAGTACCAGGCACAGGGTCTTGGTGACCAGGGGCTCAGTATCCAGACACTGGGTACCAGCAGTAGAGAGTGAAGCTGGTTGCTGAGCCAAAACCTTTGTGGTCCATGGGTTCTTTGTATCCTGGCTGCCCAAGGCCAGAGTTGGTTTCATAGATGGAGGCAAGTATGTGTGTACCCGGAAGGAATAAATAGTGAAGCAGCACCCAACAAAACTGCACGGTAGGTTCAAGAAGGCCTACCATGTGGTCATCACAACCCTATGTAGGTAGGGAGTTTAGAGAGTGGATGGGGCAGGAGATTAGAAGACTTAAGATCTGGATTTTGTGACCAAATGAGAATGGATTCCTTTTTCTTATTTTTGGTTTCAGTGCTGGGAGAATCAATTTGGACAAGAAATGTATAAGCTAACAATCTTTGACTTGATTATCAATCTTGCCGTAACTGTATTCGTTGAATTTCCTAGAAAGTAAGTATGAGTAATATTCTTACCCAATACTATAGTTTTCATTCATCTACTCATTTAAAACATTTTTCTAAAATTTAATTTTTTTCAATGAATAAGCATTTATTTTCTCTCTCACCCACTCCCAATTGAAAAAAATAAATAAAACAAAACCTTTGTAACAAATATACATAGTCAAGTTAAATAAATTCTTTTATTGGCCATGGCTAAAAATATGTGTCTCATTCTGCACCTAAAGAGTCCATCTCCTACCTCTCTGTCATGAGGTGAAAGCATGCTTCATCAGCGTGCTCTGGAGTCGTGATTGTTCATTATATTAAGCACCCGCTATTTTCACACACACATATATTGAAAATAGTAGGTGCTTAATACATGTTTGTTGAAAACAACTTTGAAAGAATTAAGAACTCTAATAAATGCAACGAACAATCATGATTCCAGAGCACACTGATGAAGCGTGCTTTCACCTGCTGACAGAGAGGTGATGGACTCTCAGGTGCAGAATGAGACACATGTTTTTAGCCATGGCCAATGAGGGAATTTATTTTACTTGACTATGTATATTTGTTACAAAGGTTTTGTTTTATTTATTTTTTTCAATTGGGAGTAGGTGAAAGGGATATGTTATATCCCATATAAAATATTAAAAGAGGCAGAGGACGATCTCTAGCATGTGTCTTCCAGAACAAGGTCTTGTAACATTTTCTATATCAGATGGTTGTTTGGTAAAGTCCGTGGACCACTCCTCAGAATGATATTTTTTAAATGCATGAAATAAAATATACAGGATTATAAAGCAAACCAATTATACTGAAATACATTTATTAAAATATTTTTAAAAACAAGTTCATGGGACCCAGGTTAAGAACACTTACTATAGAGGATTTATATAAAGATTTGGCCAGATAGATAGAAAGAGCTTTTACTTTGTGCCAAGTGCTGGGATACAAATCTGAACAGACAAGACAATCTCTGCCTCCAAGGAATTTATAATCTAATGGGGGAAGAGAACATAGAAAGGGGTAGTGTGGAGAAGGTCAAGAAATTCAGAGAAGGCCAATTTGATGAGATAAGGCAAAATATTACCTGTCGAAGCACAGGGAGCTAGTACAAATTTCCAGTGAGGAGACCTACTAGGCTGGGAAGTGAAGGATAACATGAGTATAGCAGTGTGGTGTAATGGATAGAGAGAGCTGGCCTCAAAGCCAGGAATACCTGGGTTCAAGGCCTATCTCTGCCACATCCTTGTCGTGTGATCCTAGGTAAGTCATTTAACCTCTTAGTGTTCTAGGCATTTCTCTAACAATATAAGTTACAGAGGTAGTGCTGCCATGCATTGGTAGATGGAGTTTCATCCTCTGATGCTTCTTTGTACCAATGAATTCACAGGTTCATGTGTGTAAACAAACATATATTTGTGGATGTATGTTGTATGTATCTGTATAGATACAAGACAGCTAGATGGCATAATGGATAGAGTATTGGAATTAGAGTCAAGAAGACCTGAGTTCAAACCCTGCCTTAGATGCATACTAGCTGTGTGATCTTGGCAAGTCACTTAACCTCTGTCTGCCTCAGTTTCCTTATCTGTAAAATGGGGATGATAATAGCACCAGCCTCCCAGTATTGTTGTAAAGATCAAATGAGATATTTGTAAAATATTTTGCAAACCTTTAAGGGCCATATAAATGTTGTTGTTGTATACCAGCACTCCACCAATTTGCTTTGTCTAAGATCCAGATGATTTTTTCAGTTATCAAAGTGTATGTATGTATATGTAGGTATAGGTGTATGTGGGTTGGTATACAAGATGTAAGAATCTTGCCCTAAGGTACTGATTTCTAGTCTCTGATGAGATTCTCTGAGGATCTAACAAAGGGCCTTGAAAGGTCTTCTGCACTGACTGATTTTTTTCTTTTCTTTTTTTTTTTTTGGTGAGGCAATCAGGATTAAGTGACTTGCCCAGGGTCACATAGCTAGTAAGTTTCAAGTGTATGAGGCTGGATTTGAATTCAGGTCCACCTGACTCTAAGGCCAGAGCTTTATCTACTGCGCCATCTAGCTGCCCCTTCACTGACTTTGAGTTGGAACTATTCATATTTGACCAAGGAACTCCCTGGGCTATATATAAGGTGTGTGAAAGTTCTGGTGGCCAGTATTTCCCTTGCTCTCTACTCCATCCATCCCTTTCCCTTCACTTACATTTAATTCAAGGAAGGGAATTTGAACCTGAGTGGGAGTCGCTGCAGTGACTGCTACAAAGTCCAAGGATTACCCAGGAAGGTTCTCTGTACTGTGGGCTTCTTCTTTTCTACTTTATCTTGATAGTAAAACACAAATAAGCATGGGTAAGAGTGAGAAAATACATTACTATCTCTTCCCTTGTAAACATGGTTTTGTCTCTTTCCTGAAAATGACTATATTCATAAGCCTGGAACCTCTACTATCCCATTTATAATATTGTTTGTGTAAATTTTTATACCCCGCTGTTGTTGTTCAGTTGTTTTTTAGTCATGTCTTTATAACCTCATTTGGGATTTTCTTGGCAAAGATACTAGAATAGTTTGCCATTTCTTTCTCCAGCTTATTTTATAGATGAGGAAACTGAAGCAAACAGAGTTAAGCGACTTGTCCAGGATCACACAGCTATTAAGTGTCTGAGGCCGGATTTGAATTCAGGTCCTCTTGACTCCAGAGTTGGTGCTCCACTGTGCCACCTAGCTTCCTGCCCCCGCCCAAAAAAACAACAACTCAGAGAAATCAGGGGGTGATTTTGCAAATTATAAAAGCATTTTTCATTTTACAAAAAAAATTATTCATCAAAATAAGGTTTCTGAATAGGTAACAAGTTCTCATGTATTTAAAATGTGATCCAGTGATTTAAAATTAATGTATGACTTTTCAGAAACATCTATTATAGTACTCTGGCACAGAATTTCTAAGTAGTGTATAGATTGTGATCTGTATTTATGGTGTGATGTATAGTTAGCACATGTCATCTTTCTTCAAGAGCGTTTTTCTTTTTTTCTTTTCCCATTTAAGTAAAACTAGGAACGTTCTCTCTTAGTCTTCTGGGAAGTTTTAGTCCCAGCTTAAGAAGACAACAGATTTGAAGAGAAGTGAGAGGAAGAGAAAGTTAATGTTAATTAAAAATTTTTTTTAAAAGACAATTACTTTGGGGGCAGCTAGGTGGCGCAGTAGATAGAGCACTGGCCCTGGAGTCAGGAGGACCTGAGCTCAAGTCCAGCCTCAGACACATAACACCAGCTGTGTGACTCTGGACAAGTCACTTAACTCTAATTGCCTCATAAAAAAAAAAAAAAAAGACAATTGCCTTCATAATGTTCCATCAATAGTATCTGTAAATTTGTTCTCCAAGGAAAATTCCTCATTCTTTGACTGTGTTTACACTGAGTGCCAAGCTCTGGCTCAAGGGAAAGGTTGTTATATTTGGAGTCAAGAGTTCTTGGTTCTGTTTCTACCACTTACTGCTTGTGAGACTTTGGGTAGATCACTTTAACTTAGGTAAACCTCAGTGTCCCATCATTTGTGAAAGGCAGGTATAATGCCTGCCCTGTCTTCTTCATAGGTTTGTTGTGAGGATCAAATCAGATGACATACAAAGTTTTTGTTTAAAACTGTAAAGATCCTTTCTTTCCAGGTCTCCCTTATGTATTCTCTTTTCCCATTAGAATGTAAAGTTCTTGAGGTTAGGGACTAGCTTGCTTTCAGCTGGGTGGTAAAATAAATAGAGCATTTAGTCTGAGAGTCAGGAAGACCTGAGTTCAAATCCCACTTGAGACACGTAATAGCTGTGTGATCTTGGGCAAGTCACTTAACTTCTTTCTGTCTTAGTTTTATCTATAAAATGGGATAGTAATAGCACCTACCTCTCAGAGTTATTGTGAGGATTAAATGAGATATATTTGTAAAGCACTTAGTACAGAGCTTGGCACATGGTAGGTACTTAGTAAATATTTCCTTCTTTCCTTGTATTTATATCCCCAGCACTTCACATAGTTCTTGACACTCTATATCATCTCTTATTTATCACATTTGCTTTTAGGTTATTGGTGACCTACTGTTCTTCTTGGAAATTAATTCGGTACTGGGGGCAACAGGAGTTTGGCATTCCTGATAACGTCCTGGGGATTGTTTATGCGCAGACAATCTGCTGGATTGGATCCTTTTTCTCCCCCCTCCTCCCTGCAATTGCAACTGTGAAGTTTATTATCATCTTTTATGTGAAAGAGGTAATGGCAGAAATGAGAGGGGCCTAAAAGTGATGGGCAAAGGGTCTCCTAGGTGCCAGACCCTGCACTAGGTGCTAATGATAGAAGGACAAAAACAACAAGTTCCTGCCCTCAAATAGTTCACATTTCATTGGGGGGAAACAACAGATACACATCTAAGTAAATTATACACACATATGTATATGTATAACGTACATAGTATTTACTGAGATGTGTCCATTGTTTCTCCCAATAAAATGTGAATTTTTAATATATATATGTGTATACACACGTATATGTATATACGTGTGTATGTGTATATATATATATATATATGCATGTATATATATAAATATGTAAATACAGAGCAATTTGTTACAGAAGATACCTAATAATGGAGGGGTTAAGAAAGGTCTGACATAACCCTTGAGTTGTACTTTGAAGGTGGCACCTTTTCATGGTGTATATATAGATGAGAGGCAAGCTGGCATAGTGGAGAGAGTCAGGCTTGGATTCAGGAAGACTTAGGCTCAAATTTTACTTCTGATAAATACTAGATTTGTGGGCATGGGCAAGTTTAACATCTCATTGTCTCCAGGCAACTCCAGGTTTCACAAGAATTTCTGGTCTGCATGAATGAGGGAGTTTTCACACGGGGAGCTCCTTACATTGATAAAGGCAGACTTTTGAGGCTTAAAAAAAACTAAAACACAGAACGTCATCCTCCAAATCGGAAAGGGGTTATATGCAAATAAGCCCCCCCCTTCTTTGTATCTCAGCAGCTCTCGAAAATGAGATGCATAATTTATGACATGTTGCTACTTAATCAACTGGGCTAATGAGCACCACTGTGATGAGGTGATCTCTGCCTCAGTTAAAGAATCAGTGTGTTGAGGATATACCTGGAATCTGATGTCAATTTTCTGTCCTCAGACATAGGAATAACATTTTCTTTGCTTTGGAGTCTTAGTAGATATAATTGAGTAACTGTTTACCCTGATCTCTCTCTTAGGATTATGGAAGGGATTCCTGAGAAAGTACTTGAATAGGATTGGATTTGGAATCAGAAGAATTGGGTCCAAATCCTAACTCCTAGCTACTTACCACCTCTGTGACCTTGGGCAAGTTATTTAATCTTTCTGAACCACAGTATTGTAAAATCTAGTAAGGGTGGATTAGATGACCTCTGAGGTCCTTTCCAGCTCCAAATCTGTAATCATGACCTATTATGTTGTTATTGTGGTTAATAACTGTGTGACTCTGGGCAAATCATTTAACTTCTTTTTGCCTCAATTTCCTCAACTGTAAAATGTGGATAATAATAGCATTTATCTCACAGGGTTGTTGTGAGGATCAAACAATATAAAGCATTTAGCACAGTTATCTGATACACCATAGGTGCTTAATAAATGCTTATACCCCTTATTCCATTAAATTGTAGGCTCCTTGAGGCCAGGAACTATCTTTTGCCTCCTTTTGCATCCCCGCATTTAGCACTGTGCCTGGCATATAGTAGGCGCTTAATAAATGTTAATTGAATTGAATTCCCTAATATGAGAGCACTTCCAATATATGAATTCCCTCCACCAATCGCAGGCCATCAGAACAGCATAACCTGTGACTTAGTAGACAAATCCTAAAGAGTTGCTTGAGGTATTGACTTGCTCAGGATCATACAACTAGTAAGAATCAGAAGTAGAATTTGTACCCACGTCTTCCTAACTCTAAGCCCAGCATTGTAGACATTACACCATATACTGCTTTTTCCTGAGATGATAGTTGTAAGGTAAACAGGGTCTTGAACTTTTCAACCAGAGGGATGATTTGATTATGGCCTTAGAGTCACATCCTCAGGGCTGATATTGGGAACTTTCTTTTGGTGTCTTTAAGCAAGGTCTGATACTTCCTTGAAAGTTAAAAACTATATGGGGAAATGAAGAATGATGGCAGGGAAGAGGTGGGAGAATTTTACTAAAAGGAAATAGCATTCGGGTAGGGGAAATAGAATGAAATAAGGAAAAGTTTGGTTCTTAAATCAGTCGCCCTTGTTTTTGTTTCAGTTCTTCAGTTCGTTTTGTTCTTCTTTGCTCCTTTCTACAGATCAGCCTGATGTATACCTGTAGACCCTCCACAAGGCCTTTCAGAGCATCAAATTCTAATTTTTTCTTCTTGTTGGTGCTGTTAATTGGACTGACATTGGCCTTCATTCCACTGGGAATCAGCATGACACAGTAATCATGAATTTGTCTTCCATAACTCTTAAGTAGATACTTTGGTTTGTGGACTGAATTGTTGTTGTTTTTTTTTTTAAGTTTGAAAAGAAGTATAAAATGGCATCCGAGATACTTCTTTGCCTAAATGAAAGTATTATTTTGCCTTTGTGGAAACTTATTAGAATAATAGATAAAGATTCAAGGAGTGTTCAGCCTTTTGTTAAGTTGACTTCTTATTTTCATAAAGAAATTTTTATTGAAGTCTTGTTTTTTTACATAAGATACATTTATTTCCCCTTGTATCATTACTCCTCCAAAGAACCACTCCATATACCAAAGAACTTTAAAAAAAGAAAAAGTAGGGGCAGCTAGGTGGCGCAGTGGATAAAGCACTGGCCCTGAAGTCAGGAGGACCTGAGTTCAATTCTGGCCTCAGACCAAACACTTGACACTTACTAGCTGTGTGACCCTGGGCAAATCACTTAACCCCAATTGCCTTTTAAAAAAAAAAAAAAGAAAAAGTAAAGCCTATCAATACCTTGAAAAAAGAACCTGACAACATATACAATGTTCTGCACCCATAGCTCATCCACCTCTGCCAAGTTGTAGAGGGCAAGTGTCTTCTCATATGTTTTCTTTGGGGCTGAACTTGTGCTTTGTAATTTTGCAGCATTTATTTTCAATTTATTTTGTGTCACTCTAGTCAGCTATCATTTATTAAGCACCTACTATGTGCTGGGTACTGTGATAGGTGCTGGAGATTCAAAGAAAGGCAAAAAAAAAGAAAAAAACCCCAGTCTCTGTTCCCAAGGAGCTCACAGTATAAAGGGAGAGACAATATGCAAACAACTATGCACAAACAAGCTATATGCAGGATAAATAGGAAATAAGTAAGAGGGAAGGTACTAGAATTAAGAGGGATTAGGAAAGGGTTCCTGTAGAAGGTTGAATTTTGGTTGGAATTTGAAGAGTGGGGAGATAGAGTGTTGTATGGGAGGAACCTCCAGGTGCAGGGATGTCACTAGAACCTAGAGTACATTATTGGAGGGGAATAAGGTGTAAAAGACTGGTAAGGTAGGAGGGGCCAAGTTTTATGAATGACAAACATTTTTATATTTTATATTTGGGCCAAAAGGATTAATAAAATCCAAAGTATTTTATATTTGATCCTGGAGGTGAAAGGGAGCCACTAGAGTTAATATGGTCAGTTTTGTGGTGGTGATTCTATCCATTTATATCACTGGAGTCATTGTATGTATTGTTTTGTCTGCTGTGTTTACTTCACTTTGCATCTCTTTGTGTAAATCTTTCCATGAAACTGTTTACTTGAGCGCTAATCTTGACTTGAACAACTGGTCTATTTCAACAGCATTCCATCTTCCAAGGCCTGTGGACCCTTCACAAATTATAACATCTCCTGGGACGTGGTCCCTAAGACTGTAAACACTTTTCCAAGTGCTTTGCAAACATTAATTCGTAGCATCACTTCAGAAGCATTTGCTGTGCCTTTCTTTATTGTTATCTGGTAAGTAAAGCCCATGTAAATTTACTTTTTACATCAGTAAAGCAAAGGGCATAAAGGATGCTGGGAGTGAAGTGAAGAAAGCACGGTTTAATGGGACCAGCACTGAAGCAGAGAGTTAGACCAACCCCACCCTGATCATTATTTACTGTGGGACCTTGGACAAGGCAATTCACTTCCCTCTCAGCCTCAGTTTTCTAATCTGTAAAATGAGGATAATGCTGGTACTACCTGCCTCACGTGGATGTTGTGAAAGTTTGTAAAGTTCTTTGTAAACTATAAAACATGGTAGAAATGTAAGGCCAACTGTGATTACCTCATGGGATCCCAGTTTCCTCACTTGTGAAGTGGAGAGGTTGGATTAGCTCTAAAATTTTATGATTTGGTTTCTTGTACAGGAATGATAATTTTTTTTTCATATTATCTACCCCTCTAGCTTGGAGTTGGGTTCATTAATAATAAAAACAATGATGGCTAGTATTATATAATGCTTTAAAGGTTTGCAGAGCACTTTATATATGTTATCTCCTTTGATGCTCACAACAACTCTGTGAGCTGTTATTATCTCCACTTTATAGATGAGGAAACTGAGGCTTAAAGAGGTTAAGTGCCTTGGCCAGGGCCACTAACTAGTGTCTGAGAAAGCATTCAGACTCAGGTTTTTCTGACAAGTTAGTATTCTACCCACTATACTACTTACCTGCCTAGAATGGGAACATAGAGGAAGAGAGAAGACCTTTTTGGAGACTGTTGCAGTAATTCAGATGAGGGCCTGAAAGCAGCATGAAAAAGTGAGAAGGGGACATATACTGTGAATCAATAGGGCTTGACAGTTGACTGGATGTGGGAGGTGATGAAAAGGGAAGGGTCAAAGGTAATCAAGCCATGGTTTGACACATGGGAGACTGAATGAAGGGACAATACCATGGCCCCTTGCCTATAATTAAATGTTGAATAGTGTGATATCATCTCTTAGTGCTGCAGGTGTTCAGAGAAATGGGAGGTTCAGTTAGGGCAGGAATCGTGCAGCTGAGCCTTTGAAGTTTCACTGTGAAGAATGTAAGATGTGTAGAGTCAGAGGGGAGAGAGAAGAACATCCCAGGTGAAAGGGGCAGAATGACTCAAGATATAGAAGTGGGAATTCTGTTCAACAAACATCTTATGAAATGCCTAATTTGTGTAAGGTAGTGCTAGGAATGCAAAGATATACAGGAGCAGCCATATCTCTGAGTAACCTAACAGTCTCAGAGAATTGGGGGCATCTAGTTGGCACAGGAGAGAGAGTGATAGACCTGGAGTCAGGAAGACCTGAGTTCAAATCCTGTCTCAGACACTAACCAGTTGCGTGACCCTGGGCAAGTCACTTAACCTTTATCTGCCTTGGGTTCTTCACCTGTAAAGTGGGAATAATCATACTTTCCCCGAGTTATTGTGAGGATAAAATGAGATAATATTTGTAAAGTCCTCTGTAAACCTTAAAGTGCTATATAAATATTAGCTATTATTATTATTAGTGTGACACGTTTATGGAACAGAAAAAATGAGCCTGATTAGATTGGAACATGTACATTGTGAAGTAGTGGGAAATTGGCTTGGATGGATTGTATAGGACTAATAACAATACTTTAGATTATATAGAATACATAACAGAAGGCCTCGGCCAGGCAGTGGAATGTAGGCGTAATGTGACTAAGTACTACTTAAATAAAGTGACCTATCACATACAAATTATTCCAGACCAAGTGCATAAATTATTATGTTTAGATTATTTGCTATTTGTAGAAGAGCATCACGGCATAGTGAATAGAGAGCTGGTTTCAGGACGTAAGAAAACCTGAATTCAAGTACCACCTCTGAACACATGCTGGCTGTGTGACCCTGAGCAAATTACTTAAACTTTTAGTCCCCTGTGGCAATTGGCTGAAGACTATTCCTTTCAGAAAAGGTACAATCTGCATTGATAGGGGGAGCTCCTTCATCGTGAGTTTCCTATACCCGTGAAATAATAGATCAGGACCAAAGGGGGAAAAACCTTCTATTTTTATATCATATGTGACTCGTTTTCCACTAAGGTGGCAGATAAGTGAAGAGCTCACTGGACATGAAGTCTTTCAAGGAAGGGTCTTGTTAGTTATTAGTTGGCTGTCTAACTCACTTATGGCTTGATATCTAGGGTGGGGACTTTATATTTCATTGCCAAAAATGTTTGCAGAGGGGTTTTTTCCCTTGATATTTAAAATCCTTTTTTTAAAAAAAATTTTCATTACATTTTAAGTTTTGAACTGTTTCCCTTCCTCCCTCCCCACTCCACATTAGAGAAGCCACAATTTCACACTTGTGTGTGTGTGTGTGTGTGTGTGTGTGTAAAATCATTCTATGCTCACTTCTATTTATCACTTTTTTCTCTGGAGGTGGATAACATCTTCCTTCGTAGGTCCTTTGTAGTTGATTTGAGTATAATACTCAGAGTAATTTAGTCGTTCAGTTTTTCTTTGAACAATATTGCTGTTATTGTATCCATCATTCCCTTGGTTCTGTTCATTTCACTTTTCATTATTTCATGCAAGTCTATGTTTTTTTCTAAAATCAAGCTGCTTATCATTTCTTACAGCACAGTAGTATTCCATCACAATTATATACCACAAATAGTTTAGTCATTCCCCAATTGATGGGCATCCCTTCAGTTTCCAGTTCTTTGCCAGCACAAAGAGAGCTGCTATAAATATTTTAGAACCCATAGGTTCTTTCTCTTTTTCCCTGATCACCTGAGGAAACAGACCTATTGGTATTGCTGGGTCAAAGGGTATATACAGTTTTATAACTCATTGGGCATAATTCCAGATTATTCTCCAAAATGGTTGGATTAGTTCACAGTTCCACCAATAGTGTATTAGTGTCCCAATTTTTCCACTTTCCCTCTAACATTTGTCATTTTCCCCTTCCATCATTTTAGCCAATCTGATAGGTGTGAAATGATATCTCAAAGTTGTTTTAATTTATATTTCTCTAATCAATAATGACTTAAAGTATTTTTCCATATGACTACATATAGCTTTTTTTTGAGGGGGGGCAATTGGGGTTAAGTGACTTGCTCAGGGTCACACAGCTAGTAAGTGTCAAGTGTTTGATCTGAGGTCAAATTTGAACTCAGGTCCTTCTGACTTAAGGGCCAGTGCTTTATCCACTGCGCCACCTAGCTGCCACCATGTAGCTTGTATTTCTTCATCTAAAAATTGCTTCTTCGTGTCCTTTGACCATTTATCATTTGGGAAATGACTCTTATTCTCATAAATTGACAAGTTCTCTATATATTTGAAATATGAGGCCTTTATCAGAGAAACTATCTATAAAATCTCTTCCCAATTTTGTGCTTTCCTTCCAATCTTGGCAACACTGGTTTTATTTGTACAAAAACTTTTGAATTTAATGTACTTAAAATTATTCTTTTTACATCTCATAATGTTCTCTATCTCTTGTTGATTCATAAATTCTTCTCCTATCCATAAGTCTGATAGGTAATATGTTCCATGTTCTTCACATTTTCTTGTAATATCTCCCTTTATATCTAGATCATGTATTCGTTTTGGCCTTGTCTTGGTAAATGGTATAAGATATTGGTCTATACCCAATTTCTGCCAAACTGCTTTTCAACTTTCCCAACGATTTTTACCAAATAATAAATTCCTTTCCCAAAAACTCATTATGTTTGTCAAATACAAGATTACTATAATCATTTACTACTATGTATTATATGTCTACTCTGTTCCACTGATCTACCTTTCTATTTCTTAGCCACTACCAGATAGCTTTGATAATTGCTGCCTTATAGTTTTAAGATCTGGTACTGCTAAACTTCGTTCCTTTAATTTTTTTTCCATTAATTCCTTTGATATCTTTGACCTTTTATTCTTCCAGATAAATTTTATTTTTCCTTTTTCTAACTCAATAAAACATTTTTTTTTTGGTAATTTAATTGGGATGGCACTGAATAAGTAGATTAAATTAGATAGAATTATCATTTTTATTATATTAGTTCTACCCACCATAAAAAGTGTTATTTTCCTTCTTTATTATTAATTTATTTACTTTTAGTTTTGAACATTCACTTCCATAAGCTTTTGAGTTTAAATTTTCTCTCCCTCCCTTCCTGCCTCCCCAAGACAGCGTGCAATCTGATATAGGTCTACACATACAATTTTATTAAACATATTTTCACATTAGTCATGTTGTAAAGAAGAATTAGAACCAATAGGAGGAACTAGAAGAAAGAAGAAACAAAACAAAACAGAAGAAAAAAAAAGCAAATAGTATGCTTCCATCTGCATTCAGACTCCGTAGTTCTTTCTCTGGATGTGGATAGCATTTTCCATCATGAGTCTTTTGGAGATGTCTTAGATCCTTGCATTGCTGAGAAGAGCTAAGTCTATCAAAGTTGGTCATCACACAATGTGGCTGTTACAAAAATTGTTTTATAATTATATTCAAGTAATTTCTGAGTTTGTCTTGGCAGGTATACTTCCAGGTAGTTTATGTTGTTTACGGTTATTTAAAATGGAGTGTCTCTTACTATCTTTTCTTCCAAGGTTTTGTTGGTGATATATAGAAATGCTTATGATTTGTGTGGGTTTATTTTATATCCTGCTACTTTGCTAAAATTATTATTTCAACTAGCTTTTTAGTTGTCTCTAGGATTTTCCAAGTATATCATGTCATCTGCAAAAAGAGATAGTTTTATTACCTCATTGCCCATTTTGATTCCCTCAATTTCTTTTTCTTCTCTTATTGCTATTGCTAGCATTTCTAATACAATATTGAATAACACTGG